ACGGAAAAAAAAAAAAAACCACAGTCTATTTTTTCTTCACAGACATCAGTCTTTTTTTCTCAAAAATCAAGCTCAAATTGAATAAATAAAATCAAATTGAATACATGTGATGATGAAAAGCACTATAACGAATCAAAACCCTATAAATTTAACACATTATTTGTAAAATATTGAGTGAAATTGATAGAATGGCGAAAAAAAAAAACGCAGTCCATTTTTTCTTCACAGACATCGGTCTTTTTTTCTCAAAACTCAAATTGAATAAATAAAATCAAATTGAATAAATAAAATCAAATTGAATACATGTGATGATAAACAACACTATAACGAATCAAAAGGCTATAAATTTAACATATTATTTGTAAAATATTCAGTGAATTTGATAGAATGGAGGAAAAAAAAAAAAACGCAGTTCTTACCTGTTTTTCATGCACCCGTGGCTTCAAATTCAAATTTGATATGTATTCGTCCAAAATACTGACAAATTATGAACAAAAACTTCTGAACAACACTCTTACGATCAATAACCCTCAGAGTTTACAAAAAATGATGCCCTCTTTTGCTTGAAATCAAAGAAATGACGGAACCCTAAAACCTTTTTAGGGTTCTTCACATATCCAAATTTTTTTGATCAAATCGGTGATTTTTACTACCTTTTATTGACTGAAATGGCTGAAAAATTTAAATAAAGCCTGCAAGATTCGATTATAAAGCTGAAAAATGATAAGAAAATGACAAAAAACCATGAAAATTGTGAAGAACACTGTGCAGCCCGTGTTCTTGGACGAGTCTCAATAGTGACTCGGCGATTCACTATTGGGAATCGCCCGGTTCTCTCTAGACATGGGCGATTCTCGGTATTGTAGTGGAACCGACACGGGGTCTGCCGATTCCCGAGTCGAACCAAGCGAGTCTGGTTCGACTCGCCGAGTTTTCAAACCCTGATTGTAACAATAGTTTGTTTTATTTTTTGTTGTGTTGGGTTTGATTTTGTTTTGTCTTCTAGTGTCGTGGGATTTATCCACATCAAAGAACTACAAGAGGTGGGCCCCTCTTGCTTGTATATAAAAAGGGTGAAACCCCATGTAAATTGTACAAATTACAACACCTTCAAGGGAGAACAAATAATTTTTTATCTTTTTCTTCATGCAGTGCATAAGGCCAAGGCTTTGCAATAAAAAAGTGAAGCTACACTCATCAAAGATGCAATTTCAAGCCCAAAACCCCTATAATGGCATGAAAATCTATTTTCCCCCTTGATTATGAGATTTGAAGCTCCAAAAATTGTGCAAATCTAGTGGATCTGTGGACACTGATAATATAGGCCAAATTATATGTTACAAAGTAGAACGTTTTTGGAGCTTGAAATCTATTTTTTAGATCCATAATTGTCGACGTCTTGACGGTTTTTTGGCACTAGAACTTCAATTTTTGATGTACGGCTTTATTGTTTATTGTAAAGCCCTGGCTTTACGCTAACCTTTGCTTCTTTTTTTTTTGGTGTAAATCAAAGTATCATGTCTTCACTCTTCTCTCTCTCTTTAAAGAGAGAGAGGGGTCGTAAGCCCATTGGTCAAAACCCCTTTGTTCTCTAAAGAGAAAAAACGGTCCTTAAGCCTTTGACCAAAATATTTGTCTCCTCTATTATGATTTTACAATACCCCTATTTCATTCCTGGGCTTGCAATATCGATCACATATTTAGGGAGATAACTTGTTTACAATTAATTATCGCCAATCAAAGTGTCATATAATAGAGCCTGCATCCCTTAGTGAAGCTTTACCTGATTGGTGCGTGACCGTCGAACGTATGATTCACACACATCCAGAGTCAATGGTCGTTCACACTACTTTTGAACACAAGTGTCGATATAGAGTGTGGGCCAGTCTACCTATTGTTTAATTTAGTATCACAGTGTTTGCGGATGACATAGTTTTTATTGATGAAACTAGAGACGACCTTGATGCAAAGTTAGAACTTTGGAGGGATGCTCTAGAATCAAAAGGTTTTAAAATTAGCCGAACTAAGATAGAATATATGGGATGCATGTTTAGCAATAAAAAGAAGTAAAAACAAGGAATTAGTTAAGATTGATGGCCAATAAGTACCTAAAAGAAATTATTTTTGATATCTTGAGTCGATAATCCTCGAGAATAAAGAGATTTAGGAAGATGTCACGCATAGAATTATAGCTGGGTGGACGAAATGGAGATGTACTTTTGGAGTCTTATATGATCGTCGCATCTCAATGAAACTGAAGGAGCAATTCTATAGGACGGCTATATGACCAGCCATGCTTTATGGAATAGTATATAGGGCGGTCAAGAAACAACATTTCCATAAAATGAGTATAGCTGAGATGAAATGTTGATATGGATGAGTGGAGAGATAAGAAAGGACAAAATTTGGAATAAATACATCCTAGGGAACTTAGGGGTGGCTCCAATAGGCGATAAGTTGAAGGAAAGTAGATTTAGGTGGTCTGGTCATGTACAACATAGACCTAGAACAATACCGGTTAGGAGGGGTGATTTGGTGCAAGTGGAATGCTCTAAAAGGGCAAGGGGATGGCCCAAAAGGATATGGATGGAGTATTGAGAAGAGATATAATGATCTATAGTCTGACTAAAGGTATGGCCTTTGATAAAGCAAAATGGGTGTAGCCAAACCTAAATACTTGGGAGAAGGCTTAGATGATGATGATACATGGAAACTATGACAATCGGCTTTAGAGCTATTGCATGGATCAAGAAGGGCTAGCTTCTGGATCCCTTTAGGGACATACGGAGCATTGATCTCTACCATGTAGTTGGTAGCAAAGCAAGGCTTACAACAAGTGGTATTAGAGTGAACATGTGAATGCACTAGTAAGAAAGCATGGCTTGGGAATGATACAAGTGCATCCTGAGCATGATTTGAGGAATGCCACAATATTTTGTGACAGGGTAAGCCTCTGGTTAAATGTGACATTTGGTATCAATACAGTGTTACAGGACTCAACCTAGTCCACTTGGACTCAGCCGAGTCATCCGGAGTTGTATGTATATAATTTGGATGTTTCTGACAAGATTGAGGGTTTTCTTTTTTTGCCATAATCCCTTTTTTGATAGTTTCATTTTTTAGATTTTTTGAGATGCCCCCAACTATAAATAATTTAGCTATTTTTTCTATATATTTTTTAAGCTTATTTGGACTTTTAAAGGTTGTTTTTGGTTTATTTAACTTTTACTACCTTTTTTTTCCTAGGGCTTTTTTCCCTATACGTACTCGGGCAAGTCCATGGGACTCGCCCTAGTTAATTGCCTCGGGCCAGGGCCGAGTACTGGCCCAAGGCAAGTTCCTAAACACTAGTATCATATCTGGATGAGTAGTTGTGTTGCTCGCATCAAGTGGTATTAAAGATATGATACCAAGGGCCATGAAGTCCAACATTTGGTATCAAACCTATGGTAACCGTGCCCATGAAGCGCAACATGCATATGTTAGTCAATTGGTGTTTAAATTAGTTCAATTCTCTTGAATCAATAGCTTGAGAGGACATTCAGTTTTTTAAAAAAAGGGGACGGGGGGGCCGGGGGGAGTTTTGATTATTTGCAGTGAACTGAAATCCATGCAACACATAAACTTGAATGTTCTCTAGAGTATTTTAGAATTCCTATGGTTGATTTAACTGATGCAATGATTTCAAAATTTTAGCGAAACCAAATTTGAGTCCAAAAAAGATGATGAACTAAATTTAAATGAAACTAGTCTATGTGTGGTATTAGATAATTCATATTGAATTTAGTTGTATGAATCCACAGTTTCTAGGGCTTAACAGATCGACTGATTTGTTAAGAGACATTCGTAAACTCGGATATCAGAAACTCAGTTGTGAACTTCTCAATTTCCCATCATTTTCATAAATAATCCTTTAAATGGGTCTCAATGGTGAAAAGTCTTTCCTATTTTTGGATAATGATTTTTTGCTATCATTGGGATTTTGAAATAGGATTGAGTGTTTTATCAGTGTTAGTCTTATTTTGATTGAGCTAATGGCAAAGAAAATAATGAATTGCTTCCTCTCTATTTCATTTGGTTTATGCATGTTTTATGAAACTAAAGACTGAACTCCAATAAATTGAGAAACTTGTTGAAGGTTCAGGCCAACTTGTCAGGATTTCAATCTTCCAGGGGAAAGTAACCTTGAAAATTGACATCAATCTGCAGTTGCCTTAGTCCTCTTCCTCACAGCTAACTAGCTAGCATGTTATAACAAAATTGCAGTTCTGTATTTGTTATCTGTATCCGCACCATCGCTTTCCATCATTTCCTTAAAGATTCTAGTGGATGCAAATTCCCCTTCCAGAGAGCGAGAGCGAGTGACAACAGATTCCTTTCTTTTTATTTACAATCTGCTACTCCTATGACCTCTCTTTCGATTTTTTTCCACGTCTACATGTCTCATCTGAATACTTGGTATCTGGTCCATATCATTACAAAATTGAAATCATTGTACACCTTTGGAATGGGCATGAAAAACTCATATCGATTTATATTATGTTGTTAATCTTGTTTTTTACTAGTAATTATGTTGGTAAAACTTTATTTCTATTGAAAGAGATAGTGACACAGTATTAGCTATTCGCTATCACCATTTTTAAAACTAATGGAAATTAGTAATTCTATTTATGCATGAAGTGGATTTCATGGTATTGCATATGGTTTCTAGCAGGCTTCTTCAGTCAGCATCTCTTTATTTCTGTAGTATTCTATTGTCAATGGTCACAAACCATGTTTCCTTTTTAGGAATACACCCTTCAAACAAGTACACGGGGGTTCATATGCAGATGTCATGAAACATTGAGTTTTGAATCAAAGTTCTCCAGAGGAAATGGAAAATTTAAGCTCATTGCTTATGGTAGTGAATCTTTTTTATGAAACATAACAGGAAGTTGATTGATTCTCTATGCTTCCTTTCTTTTCAATAGATTCTGACAATTTCCTTAGCTTCTTCTCAGGTTAGGCAACTACTGGAGAGGAATGAAAATGGCCATGTCATTGCTACTTGTCGGAAACCTGCTGCAGCAACGGGTCTTATAAATATGAAAAACAAGCATCCAGAGCGCCTTAGCATACTGCAATTGGATTTGACATCAGAAAGCACCATTGAGGTAAGTTTTGGATTCTAAGATCTACATCCTGAAAACCTTTCTTTGGAACTAAAGAAATAAAGAGAAACAAGCTAATGTTGGAGGAAAGTGTTCATTTCCAAAGCTTTCATGCATGGAGTTTTATGCTAGTTACTTTTATTTCTTTTTTCTTTTGGAAGTGCGAAGTACGGTTTTTGGGTTGGGAGATTTTATTCCTTTGTATTGCTTAGTTAAATTTCCTTGTTATGCATGCAAATAAATCTCACCAAAGTCTGGGCTATTTTAATGCTTTTGTTGTTGCACATCCAAATTTCCAATCTTAATGTTTCATAAAATGTTCAAAGATAGTCAGTTATCCATTTGCTGTTTATGCATCAATACTGTGCTGTATTGATATGCAAATAAATGCCAATATACGCACTCTTATTTGATGTTTCATTGCAGGAAACTTCTCGCACTGTCAAGGAAAAATATGGGGTCTTGCATCTTTTGATTAACGCATCTGGAATTCTGTCCATACCCGATGTTTTGCATCCAGGTTTGACCATTCCATGAAGTATATAAATAGTATGTCAGGTATAAATAAGTTATGCAAATGTGTATTCTGTTTGCATGGGCAAAGTATGCCATTATTCAATGGACTATAGTATATGTGCCTTCTTTGGATCATAATGCGACTTTCCTTTTTTCTAGAATGTTACTGTAGATCTAGACTAGCAGGATCACAGCTCAATATGTAAATAAATGGATATGCTTTAGGTTTTGTGAGTACAATCAATTATACAAGGTGCTTCTTGTTGTCAAATTTTGTCCTCTATGAATATTAGACTAGCAGGATCAGAGCTCAATATGTAAATACATGGATCTGCTTTAGGTTTTGTGAGTAGAATCAATTATACAAGGTGCTTCTTCTTGTCAAATTCTGTACTCTGTAACAATATTCACAGCCATGAGGCCAGGGCTGGCAATGGGCCAATCAGCCCAGCCCGGACCGTTCACCCCTGCCCTGCCCTAAAATGTAGGGCCTGGGCCACAAACTGTGGCGTGAGGGCCAGGCTGCCCAACCCTTCTTTTTTCTTGTTTTTTCTTTTTTTTTTCTTCATTTGTTTTTGGCCCAGTCAGTCTCTAAAAGGGCTAGAGCCAGGCCTGGGTGGGACACGCCCCGGGCCAAGGCCTAGGCCATTGCCACCCTTACATGAGGCCTTGTAAGTGGAAGAAAATATGGTTACATAGCAAGAGAGGTTATGTGATTTGCTTTGATGGTACTCATTGACTTAACACTATGAAATATTAAAGTAAAATGTTATGAGATAAAATGAAGAAAATAGTGTACCACAAAAGTACTGCCATGAATAAATTAAGAATATGTTTAACAATCCTCGTCATTAACAGAAGTTAAAATACTTGGTCTGAGTGGATACGCAAACAAAAAAAATTAAAAATCCCTTCTTAAATATCTTTGTATAAGTTATTATATTTGGACTTCCTTTTGGCTGATATTGAGAGTTATTATAATTATCCTCAAAATATAAAATAAAAGATTTAGAGTATACTTAAAATGGTGGAATGGAAGATATTAGCTTGTGGCTCTGAAGAAGATGCTGAGTCATAAAAGTGCTTGCAGAATCTATACTTGTAGAGTTGTACGTATGTTGTGTAGATTGTTTATTCCTGATATCCAATTAACGTTTATGTTCTCAATAATATTGATTGACCATAACTAATTATAAAGCAAAAAAGAGATATAAATAGCCATAAGTCATTACATTGCATTACACGAATGTCTGAGCAGTTACAAAGGCTTACAGCCCACTTTTTGATGAAGTCAAAGGTCACATTGCTTGTAGAAGTTTATTTGGTTTGATTTCATTTCTTTGGACAGACAGCTAATGGTGTTGAAATTCCAAACACAGAAACTACACTGAGTAAAGTGCAGAAGTCCTCCTTGCTTTTATCTTACGAGGTTAATGCAATCGGTCCCATTTTAGTAATTAAGGTATGTAACAATAAAATCAATACACTTATATCTTGTTTTCAGATCAATATAAAGTCTTATGCATTGAACTTCATTGTTTTCCTTTGTAACAGTTTTGCTCAGTTATCACGGCACGTGCCTTGGAATTGACATTGTTGTATTAGTGTGATCTTCAAATTCCCAGGCTTGATTTTAAAATGCAATTTTTGAAAATATAGCATGTTAATGGCTCATTGTATACATTTCATATCTCTTTGATGGGCCACAGGTTTTATACTTCTGCACTGGCAATTTTTTCTTTTTATTCTTTGTTATGGAATAGTGGCAAAGGAGATCAGTTCCAAGACAACCCTAGTGTTTTTAGATCATTCCATTAGCTTTGCTTAATCTCCACAAGCACACCCCTCCAAAACCGCATGGGACAAATAGATGTTCATTTGTTTCTTGCTCACAAATGCTCATTTGATGCATTCATTTTTGTGTTATCAATTGTCAGTGTCATTTCAAGAACCAAAATTGCTCTCCTGCTTTTGAAATTATTTTGTGCCTGAAGATTTCATATGTTGGCTCTTTGAGGAGTATTGCTTGTGGCATGAGATGATTCTCTTTACATATTAGATTAGATTCACATAGCTATTGCCAATAATCTACATAAGTTTGCAATACTATTATCTTTGGAGTATGTAAAATGCAGTTGTTAAATAGTTGTAGAGAAGGAAATACAGTAGTTTTGATTCATCAAAATAATCCTCTTAGTACACCATCTCTAACTTCTACATTAATCTGGGCAGCATATGTGGCCACTTCTGAAAGCAGGAGGAGGCCATGTAACTGATCGGGAATTTGCAGTTGTAGCAAATTTGAGTGCAAGAGTGGGTTCTATTGGTGACAATGGTTTAGGCGGATGGCATTCTTATCGATCTTCAAAGGCAGCACTTAATCAGTGTATGGACTTAGTTTTTTTTTTTCTCTTTTTCCCATTGCTCACTTTTTTTTCTCTTTTTCCCATTGCTCACTTCACGTGTGAATTGAAATTCTCTAGAGGATCAAGTAGTAAACCTTCCAAAATTTAATCCCAAAGGGTACAATGTTTAGTGAAAGTACAATGGTTAGTGAATGCTCTTTCATACCCAGTTTACACAAACATGTGTGAAATTGCAAATGTTGGTTTTTTGTAATTACGTCTATAGGTTTTGGAGGCCCAGTTGGGCAACCAACTCACCTCACCACTTGGCTGAGGCTGAGTTACTCGCCTGAGCCTGAGTGGACTCGGGCGAGTTCAAAAACAGTGACAAATACCGATTATATTTTCTCAAAATTTTCGTATTACCACTGACAAATTACACAAGGAGCCGTGGTTGAAGATATTTTGCATTATGGGCTGTAGGCAGCAAGCATAAATAAATGTTTTAAGTACTTTGAGGAGCACATGTCATTAGAGTTAATTGCAAATAACTCTCTCTCTCTCTCCCTCTCTCCATTGTTAAAATTCAGCATCATAGACTGATTTTTGACTTGCATGCAGTGACAAAGACAATATCAGTGGAATTTGCAAGGAGGAAGGAGCCGATTGTTTGCATTTTGCTTCACCCCGGTACTGTGGACACAGACTTATCAAGGCCATTCCAGCGCAATGTGTCTCCTGCTAAGCTTTTCACCAAGGAGTACTCTGTCCAAAAGCTTCTCAGTATCATTGATGGTGTGAAAACTAGTGATAATGGGAAATTCTTTGCTTGGGATGGTCAAGAAATTCCATGGTGAGCTTATTTATTTATTTATTTTTGTAGAGCAGCATGTGATTTGCTTTCTTTGTTTTGTTGATTATTTATCGATAATTATGTGTACTGCGGCATGATCAGAGTAAAGCAAAAGGACTATTATTCACCTTGATAATTTTCTTTGTTATTGTGTTTGTGTGCGTGAGAGTGAGAGAGAGAGAGAGAGAGAGAGAGAGTTGCAGAGATTGTTGTATCAAAACAAATGTACAAATGTTGCCTATATCACTTGGAAATTAAGTTGGGGCGAGAGGGTTTTGTGGATTATTGTTTCAAGAGAAAATACATATTAAGAGAGAGAGAGAGAGTGAGAGTTAGTTGAAGAGATCATCATTGTATCAAAAGAAAAAGAAATAGGGATTGTATATTCTGAGACTCTTTATCTTTGGTACAAAGAGGTCACAATTACTCTTAGCCATTAGATGTCAAATTGGATAGTTTGGCTTGTGTCACAAAGTTTGATAATCTTTTTTTGAACTTTTAGTCTAATCAATGACACTCTTACAACGACCCGATTTGAAATCTAACATGACAAAAGTTATTGTGACTTCTTTGTACCAAAAGTAAATGATCTTTTTTATACAAAAGTAAATGGTCTTTTTTTATACTTTTTCCTAATAAATATGCCAGTCACACTATTTTCTTTTTATGATTGACTTTGCATAAAAAAAAATAAAATAAGTAATCAAAGTACCTATATCGATATTAGTGAAACCGACATGTGGGTTAGTACTTCTTGAAACAAATACAGTACTTCTTGAAACGGATACAACCACCCCTACTGATTGTCTTATAGCGTGACATGTGTGTCAGTACTTGAAACAGATACAACTACCCCTACTGAGTGTCTAATAGCGTGTCTTTTTTGGACACGTTCCATTTTTAGAATGCGGATGTTTATTTGTTAAAAGCACCATTCTTTAATGGAGAATATTTTATTTTGAAAATAAAACAATTAATTTTGTATAAAATAAAAAATTATATATGTTTACATTTGTCAATTTTGAAATGTCTTCAAAAAATATTTTTTTATTTTTTATTTTCAAAATATGAAAAATTGCCCATATTTATTTTTTGGGAAATTATCATAAATATATCTTAATTTTTGACAAATTAGAAAAAAAAATCCTTAAATTTTCATAAACTTCATCCATACCTTTTTTCCTCAATTTTGGCATTAAAAATACTTCGAGTTATCATGGTAATTTTCCTTAGTTTTGGCATTAAAAATACTTCGAGTTATCTATAAAATGGGGTAGTCATTATGGTACTTTAAATACTGTAATGCTAGGGTTTCACAATAATACAATTAATGTGAAGGCTATTTTGGTAAAAAAAACGACAAAAAAAAAAAAGGTATGGATAATGTTTATAAAAGTTGAAGATTTTTTTTCTAATTAGGCAAAAATAAAGGTGTATTTCTTATAATTTCCCTTATTTTCTAAACAAGTACAATTATCCATGTTACATAAGTCAATTTTGAAACCCCTAGTAATAAGTCAATTTCAAAAAATTGACCGTGTTTACATATGAAAATTGTTTGTATTTACATAAGTCAATTTTGAAAGTGCCCATCATTTTTTCAAAATAAAAAGTTCACAATGCGAAATAAAAGTATTTTTGTTTTGCACTTACCTAATAGTTTTTACTTTTTTTGCTTATTGGTATGATGCGACCTTGGATTGAAATATAATAAAAAAAATTTATGAATAAAATTCAGTTACATAAATTAACAATTTTTTGTCTATTAATTTATTTTCTTTTTCTTTTTCTTATTCTTTTTTTTTGCTATTTGGACATGATTTGTAATAATATTTAAATGTAGATAGTTTACATTTCTGACAAGCACGTCTGTGTCACAAATAGTCACATGTGCCTAACATTGTCTCCTTACTTCTCCATTATTCGAAAAATTGGAGAATGGCATGTTGGTCGAGAATTGAGAAAAATACTTTAAATGTAGTTTAGAGTAAATTATGCCATTTACTAACTTTAGTCGCATTAACTACATGCTATAAAAAAATATAAAATAAGAATCGTTTATCAAGAAAGTCACAATCATCTAATTAGAGATTTGGGAGTGTGCCCAGAGAAAATTTTCACAAACTTCATCTTGGGAATATCATATACCTTCAATCAGGTAGGGTGAATATCACCTTCTTTTATAAAAAATAAACCCCAAACCTTCATATAGAAAACAATCCAATATGTTATATAGACCAAGTCAAGATATTTGCCTCTATCTCAATGAGAGATGTATGAGATGAGAGCGAGAGAGTGTGTGTGTTTTGTGTAGATATTTGGAAATCACCACACTCACATGTCCACTAGGATTTCCATGAATTTTGGATAAAGAATGCATCTTAAATCACTAGAAATATAGTTATGCCTTAAATCTATATTTTTGGCACTCTAAAAATAGTGCACATCTTAAGAACTCTGAAAATTAATAGTGTAAAAAAAAATTCAGAAAATCCTATTTTCAAATTTTTAAACAAAAAGTTGCATATTCATCATCCCATGTCAATTCCTAAAATGTTGGATCCGTCGCTCGAAAATAAAAGTGTCAAGTTTGCATAAGATTGCAAATTTACGCAATCAAAATAAAGGCGCACCTCCAAACTTTGTCATTCTAGTCAAAAATTTTAGGATGGCCAAAGAATCTATTTTTATCTCTAATTATAATATTTCAGACTCTATAAATTTTTTAAATCAAGCACATCTATAAATGCATGAAAATGTTGAAAATAGATGGTCAAAATAATGTGTTGCAAGATATACTATTTTTTCAACTTGAAGTCTTTTATCTTTTCATGTAATAAATCTCGATGTCGAGATGATCAATTAGAGGATTTTCTAACATCAAAATAGCTTTTTTTTCAATGGATTTTCGAGGCACACCTTATTCATACAAGTTAAGGTGTCAACCTTATATAAACTTTTTGAGGGGAGGTGGATATAAAATAAGTGTTTTTGACATACAAAAACCTTACCTTCGATATATTACTATATGCGAAATATAAGTCCAGAAAGGTCATTATCATCATCATCATCATCAAAGCTTTTGCCCAACTAATTGGGATCGGCTATACAAATCTTGATATACATTTTGATCTATTAAGGGTCATACCCTCGGTGAGGTTATAAGTCTAAAAAGATGGCCACGTCAAATTTGAATCATTCATGTTTGTAAGAATCAGTTTCCAATATAACCACATTAATCAAAAACACTCTTATGACCTTTTTGAAGGAAATTTTCTTTTATTTGGAATTATATTTTATCAAAATTAATATCCTATAGACAATGTTATTTTGTTCATTGTTTTGGTACAAGTCCTATATTCTATGTAATATTGTTTAACTATTTCATTTTTTTTCAATGATTCCAGGCGTTTTTAGCTATTCATGGCTAAAAACATATAATTTTCACCAAATTAACTTGAGTAAAGCAAAAACATCTTTTCAAAAAGTTAAACTTCCAAATAAAATTGCCTTTAAGTTATCTTAGATAATCTAGTGATGGACACTGCCGAATAACAGTCAATTCATTATCAGGATTAATTTCATTGAGTACAAATTATCAGTAATAATGAATACATCTAAACAAGCCCTTATTTTGTTTGCAGAGTAGCCCAATGCAATCTTTCGAATGGTAGTCCTAACTTTGAGATTGTAATAGCATGTAGCAAAGGGCTTCTCGTAAAAGATGCATAGTATTTCAAAAAAACCATGTCAATTGATCAATTAATAGTAGTTTTATGATAATAATATAATTAGTAATAAATATGTTGGTATTAATATACAATTAACAATGTTTAACTTCCCATGGATCCGCAATTTCTTTAAATTCCAAAATTTATTTGTCAAGTTATAAGTGCTATAATGGGAATTTATTTCCTCCAAGTTCTCTAATGTTTCTATCATTTGTATTCGAACTTAAATTGAACTCATATTAAAAAGTAATTATACTAAATATTTTAAAAAATTTCTTCACATTTGCTAAAACAAACCCCAAAATTGTGTTATGCTAAAACAAAAAAACGCTAAATCATGTTAAAGAGAACTATCGCATTCTTAATCAGACGATAAGTTACCATATCTCTTTTAATTACATCCATTCATGTACTTTTAGGCTTTCCTTTTACTGTTTTTAGAGCCTTCTACTCGAACCATCCATCTCAATTACACTTACTCTATGTATATATTGTTTTTTGACTGCCTAATATTCTATCTCATAAAACTTGGTTGGTCTTAAACTGCCCTTAGTGACTCACTTGTCAATTCAGAATAGGAAAAATAGTACAGCAAGCAATACTTACCCAAAAAGTTTAAGCTAGATTAAGAGAGAGAGGGGGGATATGTGTATTGATCAGTGTTTCATTTAATTTGAAAAGTAAAAATTGGAAAAACAATGGGACTTAATGAAGAGAGAGAGAGAGAGAGAGAGTTTTCTTTTCGAGTGTTCTTTGGCCGAGTAACTTGGCCTGGCCCTTGTGGCGAGGCGAGTTCCAGGTGTTGGGAGTCCCCATAAAACCTAAAAGTAAAAATAACCAATGTATTGTTCAAAAATGATTATCAAATAACCAATGTATTGTTCAAAAATGATTATCCAAATCATTTTGATAGTCTTTTGGATGATTTAGGATCTTTCATTATGTTTTTTCACTTCTTTATTTTTTGAAACATGCAAGGTATATATCAAAATTTTCAATATTTCATATTTATAGTTTCCTACATCTTATATAACCTTATGATGATTTCCATTAACTACAAAATATTTTATCTAATTTTTCATTATTGTTTGAAATTTTTTATTTTTATTTTTTGTTGTTAAGGAGTGCGCATAACTCAACGAATCCAAACGGACATATTAAGCACACATGCTCTCATATTAAGCACATAGTGCCATTTCAATTTTGGAAAAAATTGTCAATAGACAGACACTTCTTGTCTGGTACAAACTAATATGCATTGCTCATGTAGAGCAGGATTTTGCTATTTGAATGGACGGGAGAGAAAGAGACTTCTTGGGCTAATTAAAGAAGAAAACTTCTAGTTCTCCATTAGCCGTGTGTTTGGTGGAAGTCCGGTTCCAACGTTTGGACAGAA